TGGAGCAAACATGAAAGAAAAAGGTTTAATTATCTTGCAAAGTGAAACGATTTCTTTTCTGTTAGTGAAATGATCTGCTGAGGCAGCATCAGTTTGCGGCCGTTACACAGTTTGTGGGTTACACACGCAGTGTGAGAGGTGTGTGTAGGATGTGGGGCTTATCTGCATCTTGTTTATCCTGATGAACCGATACAACAGCAGGAAAAAAAAGCCATTATGCTGGGACTTGATCGAAATGTTCTGCAAGATCTGCTGCCTAGAAGAGCTGGATCTTGCAAATGAAGTCTGCAAAAGCTTGGTGCTGCATGCAGATGCAGATTTTCATGGAGCTAGGCAAGATATAAAGACATAGGAGTGGAGATGCTTGCTGGAGATGTAGAGAAGAGAGAAAACTGCTTGTTCACTCTGTTTCCATGCAAGTATTTGCCATCTGCAGATCAAGATGGATCAAACGTTGTTTTAAGAGTTAGACAACCGGTCTTTTTATCCCACCAGCTGTTGGGATGGAATGTGTTCCATGAGTGCCACAGGAGCTCCTGGATGAGGCTCTGGTGTGTGTGTGATTCAGGAGGTGCGTGCCAGGCTCCCTCTGACCTCACCGTGCACCATTTGTGTGCTTCTTATTTGTAAGGCTTCAGAATAAGATGCTTTGCAGTTGGGAATTAAAGAATGGAACTGAAAAGCATTCAAGTATTTGCATCACTTCGCTTTATGTGCTGTTCCTTGCAGTTACTCCTGACTTACACAAGTCTGACGTCAGGCTCAGGATGACGTCCTTAAACAATTGCTTTAAGTAGAAAAAGCATTTGAGGTTTTTGTGAGGAACTTGGAGCTACAGAAACAGTATGGCAAATAATCATAGGAAAAAAGCCACCAAGAACAGTAGGGACCTTTTTCTTTCATGTTACAAAGGGAGTAAAATAAAGGTTGAATGGAGAAGAAAGGGAAAAGAAGGATGAGGGTAAAAACAAGAAAGTGCACAGTTCATACACCATGAAATGAGGGAAACAAGGAGGGCTCTGAACCGTTAGTGCAAAAAAGTGAATCAAAACATGGAGTTGTGCCCATGATTGTCACACAGCTGGAATGAAAGAGAACGAATGAGCATGAATGTGCTGAAGGCAACAGCGAAGCAGCAGCAACAGCGTCGAGAATGGATTGTTTAGAGAGCACAGGATTAGCTGAGATCCCAAAGTGCAGATGGTGCTGGATGAAATAATCACCTCGGTCTCGAGGGAGCGAGTGATGCCCGTGGGTTGGCCACACGATGAGGGAGAATTGCTGTGTAACCAAATGAAGAGAACACTAATTGAGAGCAGGTCCCAGGGAAACGTCCAAGCCTCCCTCCCAATTTCTGGCCCATAAAAGGAAAAGAGAAAGGGGGGAAAACAAAAACAAAAAGAAGAAAGAAAAGAATGGTCTTGCTGTGTTTTGGAGCAGTACAGATACGCAGCTGAAGTTGCATACGAGTTTGAGTTAATTAAACAGATTGCACAGATTCCAGCTCTTAGTAAGGGTCACAATTTTGGGCAAAGTGTTCAGATCTCTTCTGTCAATATTAATGTTTTCCTTCTCTTTATGGACGCACTCTACATTCAGAAAATAGTCAGGTCCATCAGATGAGGCAGATTTTCAGAGTAAAGGCAAAATTCTGGATTTGGGAACAGAATCCCTGAGCCCATGCATAAATATTTGGGTTTGGGAGCTGCGTATGGAAGTCACGACATGTAATTTAATGTCTAAAACAATTTCTTCCCGTGAGTGGTGTCATTTCTCTTCTTGTCCCTGCAATTCTGGGAGTTACTGGGGGTGACAGAAGCCTCAGCTGCTTCTCATCACTGTCACCATGCACCAGCAGCCCTGTGCTGCTTTCCTAAAGCTGCAGCCCTGAAATCACCACGATGTTGGAGAGCTGCAGAGGAGAGCAGGCTGGGATGAAGGTTGGCTCTGTGTGGCTGCAGCCACATTGTCCCAAGGCCTGTGCAGAGGCTCTCAGGATGGAGAGGAACACCTTCCATTAAGCCACGCTTTGTGTTCAAAGCCCTCTCTGCATGTTATGCCTGTAGTTGCTCAAACTGAGCTCTTCAGACCTCTTCCCTGCAGCCAGGCTCCCGTTTTGAGCATATCAAGGCAGCCTGTTTTTAATTTAATCTTTCCTTTTTGAGTGGATTTGTCTTGAAAGTCATGAAAAGGCCGGGCTCCCAAGCTGCTCTGCCTCTTCAAGAGCTGCAGGAAGGTAAGTGTGTGTTTTTTTAAGCTGCACCAAATTTATCCCTAATGCAGCTTACCAAAATAAAGCCAACATCAGCACTGCTACGGCAGCCTTTCCAACGACCCCTTAGGTCAAATAAATGTATGTTTCCTATGCAAAATTTCCCCACGACACCTTCAAATGATCTGAAGAGTTCAAATAATGGCAATTGACATTCGTGTAGGCACAGCCCTTGAGTGCAACATAATAAATCGTGTGTGTTTGTATACATGTACTGGGGAGTGGGAGGGGGGGAGTATGTGTATCACTACTGGAATGGCGTGAAACTCTTTAACCCTGCAGAAATAGTTTTATTTGATTGCAGAAACAACAAACCAGCTCCACAGCAGCACGGATATTTGCTCTCACAGAGCTGTGCCTCTGGAGGAGATGTGAATTATTTCAGGCTGCAGGCTGGGATGCTGCACACACCTCACGGTGCTTGGGGGAATGTGAGGATGCAGCACTGAGAAGCAACCCTGGTCTGTACCCCCATGGAAAGGGAAGCAGGCAGTGAGCAAAGCAGGGCTAAGTGGGATCCTGGGGCTGCTCCCAGGGCTGGGGGTGTTGGTCTGGGAAAAACCTGCTGTGGGGAACTGTAAAAATGGATCCAAATGGGGAAAAAACAGGAGCAAAGAGGCCACCCTGCCACCAATGGCTGTTGAGGGTGTGAGGTGCCCGGCATGTACATCTGGCATAGAAAATCACAGAAGAGTTAGTGTGAAAATCCCAGATGGTTGAGAATGCAGTGCAGATAGGTTCTGTTCTGTGGGGTCAGTTTCTCTGGGGCAGGTTTCCCACAGACAGACATTGCTGCCTCTGCTTTTGGTTTTGGAGTTAGGCCCAGAGGGAGGTGAAATCTGAGACCCGATCTGGCCCAAGTACCACACTTTAATCTTCCAGATCTTCTTTAGAAATAATAATAAATCCACACAAACATCACTGATGAGCAAAGCTCCAACCATTGCGGAGAAGCAATCCCAGCTTATGAAACGGGCAGGCAAGCAGCTTACCCACCCCTGGCTGTGCTCCCTGCACCAACTTGGCCATGTGGCCCCTTTCCATCCTGCTAATAATGTATTTCCTTACTCATTTGCTCCTCAGAGAAACTTGTCAACCAGTTGCATTTTCAACTCTCCAGCTGAAACCCGGGCCTGATGTGGGGATGGGCAATGGAAGGGATGCTGCAGCACAATTTTGATTTTATTTCCCCACCCCGTGGTGGGAGGAGTTCAGCTTTCAGCTCAGCCCCCTCCGGGCACTGTTGCAGGCACATATATATATGTGTGTGTATATGCATATAAATGTGCATAAGTATCTCACAAGTGTGTGATGAGAGCACTGTGCTTTCCTGTGCACACATAGCACAACGTGTGCATGTGGTTGGTGCACGCACTGCCTGCCTGCACTGACCTTAAAGCAGAAATCCCACCTATAGATGCAGCATGCAGCACGCAGACCCTCCGGCAGCCCCACGTGTGAGCTTTGGCCAAACGCATCCAACCGATGCTGCGTCCATACAGAATCACAGAACGATTCCGTTTAGAAGGGACCTTTAAATCAGATCCAGCTCAATTTTAACTGCTTTCACGGCATTCTAAGCGCTGTTTTCTTAAAGAAAAGCAGTGGGTCGGGGCCGGGGGCCGCCCGCACCCCGCACTGCCGTCCCTGCGCCCAGCCCCGCATCCTCGCACTTCCACCCAGCGGCCGCGGAGCGGAGACGACAGAGCTGGAAAAGTCGGGCGCTCCGAACTGCAGCCTCGTTGTCACCCGACGGTCGCCTTTTCTATTCTTTTAAAGGTTTTTCTGTTTTTTTTTCTTTTTTTCTTTTTTAGATTTTTTTTCCCCCTCATCTATTTACCGTTTACCAGCTCATCCATATGGAAGACGTGGCTTACACTTCCTGGAGAACTGTACTTTTAGGACTAATTGATTCTGGTAATTAATTTGTTCTACCTGCTGGATCAGATGGAAACGCTGTCCGTGTGCCCAAGGATTAGCACTTGCCTTTCTAACATCTTTCTTAATTATCTAATAGCATGGGTTGTGCGAATTCTGGCTCTATTAGAACACTTTTACTATTAACGGTAGTGATTGGAATTGTGATGACAACTCGATTTCAACAAATTAGAGCTTAAAATCAGGAGATGAAGGAGAAGTGCCTTCTTTTAATTTCCCCGAGTTTAACATCAATAATTAGAGCAATTTTCTGAGATGCGAAGCGAAATTATCTCGGCTATGATGTGGTGTATCACCCTCATTTTAGCAAATTGACTCCGGGGAAATGAATGTTACAGATTAGGGGGGGTGGGGGGGAACACAAACAGAGGAAAGACCGAGGGGGGGTTGGGGGGGGTTGGATGTTGGCAGAACACGGAGTGGGGAATGGATGGGAACAAAACCCGCTGGGGTAACAAGTGGAACAACACACGTTGTGTGCGTGGGGACCGGTTAGGAGCGGAGCAGGGCACAGGTCGGGAAAGCGCAACTCATTTCTTATTATTTTTTTTTTTTTCCCCTTAAGTTTTGGCGCTTCAAGACAAACGGAGAACAAAACCAAAAGCTTTCGGAAGCCGCCCCCGGCCCTGCGCTGGGGAAGGGGCTGATGAGGGTGGGGGAAAAGTGCTCGGAAGCGGAGCCGTTCCGCGTTTCCTCCGCGCCGCCCCCGCCCGCCCGTTTCGCCATTGGCTCTCGGAGCGCTGCCGGCCCCGCGCCTCAAAGCCGCGCATCGCCCCGCGCATCCCGCAGCTCCGCGTCCCCCGGCTCTCCCCGTTTTCCCTTCTGTCTGGGAGAATCGGGTTTTTTTTTTTATGTCCCTTCTTATTGCTAATATCGCTTTATTATTATTATTATTTATTAGCGCTCTTATTTATCGTTCCTCTTATTTCCCTTTCCATCTCCTCTCCCGGGACGCGCAGCCGGCCGTCCTTTCTCCTCCGGCCCCCAGCCCCTCTCTCTCCGTTCCCCGCAATCCGAAGCGGGGCTCTCCGAGATGAACCTCAACTTCACCTCGCCGGTTCACCCGGTCCCCGCGCCCCGACCCACCTCCTTCTTCATCGAGGACATCCTGCTGCACAAGCCCAAGCCCCTGCGGGAGGTTCCAGCCGAGCACTTCGCCGGCTCCTTGGCCTCCCGCGTCCCGCTCTTGGACTATGGCTACCCCCTGATGCCCGCCCCGACGCTGCTGGCTCCACACCCGCACCCGGCCCTGCACAAACCGGAGCACCATCACCACCACCACCCCTACTTCCTCACCACCTCGGGTAAGTGCGGGGCTTTGCGGGTGCAGCCCGAGATGGAGAAAGGCTCCTCAGCCTCGCGCAGGGTGTGGGTTTGCGTTTTGGGGCTTCGGGTCCCTGCCTTGCCGAGCCCTCGGCTTCGTCAGAGGGGATCGGAGATCTCAACCAGCCGAGATTTTGAGCCCAGCGACCCCAGGCTTTCCCTCTCCCCTTCTGCCCGTTTATTTCGTTTTGAACTCTTTTTATATTACGGTTCTGGAATGGGACCGGGCTTCACTTTTCCACGTCCATCAGCAGCGCTGGGGCCGTGCCGGACCGTCCCGGGGCGGGGGGAGACTTCGCGCCCGTCCGTCCCCACGAACCCTTCCCAGGGCCGCTTCCTCCAAAGTTTCTCCTCGGGAGGCCGAAGTTTCTCTTCGTGTGGCCGCTCTCTTCACTTCCCTCTGCTTTTCTCCAGTCTCTTGGGTGCATTTCGTTGACTTTAATTGCACTGAGGGTGACCGCTCCGTTTCTGAGGTTGGCTGAACCGCACCTGCTGGGGAGGGTTCGGATGGGGTGTTTTCAGAGAGATGAAAAAAAAAAAAAAAAAAGTGAATAAAATAGAAATAAAGCAAAATAAAAAGAAAACAAAATAAAAATAAAGATTTCGAAAACGAAAAAAAAAAAATCAAAACAAAAAAAACCAAAACGACCCATATATATCCAGGGGGGCAACGGCACGGGGAAAGCTCACGCAGAGCCGCTGCTGCCCGGCTCCGGTTGGCCGCAGCCCGGCTCCCCGCCGTGTGTCCCCGCAGGAGTGCCGGTGCCGGCTCTGTTCCCGCACCACGCTCACGCCGAGCTGCCCGGCAAGCACTGCCGCCGTCGCAAAGCCCGCACCGTCTTCTCCGACTCGCAGCTCTCCGGTTTGGAGAAACGCTTCGAGATCCAGCGTTATCTCTCCACGCCAGAACGGGTGGAGTTGGCCACGGCGCTCAGCCTCTCCGAGACGCAGGTACGGGGCCGCCGGGCTCCGTGCAGCCTCCTCCTCTTTGCTATACCTTTTTCTTTCCCGATTTTTCTTTTCTACTTTTTTTTTTTTTTTTTTTTTTTTTTTACATTTTTCTTGATTTTTTCTTTTTTTTCTTTCTTTTTTTTTTTTTCCTTTCTCCTCCAGGTGAAAACCTGGTTCCAGAACCGGCGGATGAAACACAAAAAACAGCTGCGGAAAAGCCAGGACGACCCAAAACATGAGGAGAACGGCGAGCAAAGCTCCCCCGAGCCCGAGCTTCCTGAGCCGGCCGCAGCTGAGCCCCGAAAAGTCCCCCCCGGCTCCTTCCTGCTGCAGGACCCCGAGGACGAGGTGGACATCCTGGAGGACGGGGATATCCTCGCCGCCCCGCACCGCCTTTAGGAGCTCTTAGGGCAGCGTTGCGCATCCCTACAGCTCTCCCCCAAGCCCGCGTTCTGCCGGGGTGCCAAGGTTTGGTGTAGGTACGGAGGGAAATAAAATCCCCCGGGTTCCTTTCGCCCCTTTGGCTTCATCCCAGCATCACCCCAAGCCTGAACTTTGCTTGGAAATCCAGCGAGGGAGAGCCAAACAAAAACAAATAGAACCAAACCAACCAGCCAGCAGTTTCCTGTGAGTTCTCCCTTCCCTTTGAAACATCGGACTTTTCTCTATTCCCCGAAGTCCCCTCGGTTTTCAATAAAGGTGTTCCGTGGCTGCGTGGTGTGGTTACTGAACGGGTGTGCTGAGAGCGGCCGATGGGGCGGGGGGCATCGCTCAGCTGATTCCCATCTGGGAAAGGGGAGCAGCAGGAATAACCCCAGCCCTGTAGGGCTGCACGGAGAGAATCGCCCCGGCTGTTTGTAGCCGCCATTCCTCCGCAGCTCCAGGTGAGGGAAACCTGCAGGCTTCCCCTGCACGACTTTCGCTCTCGTTTCCTCTCCTCTTGCAACAGCCTTGAGCTCTGCGCTGCAGCCGCCATCCGCGCTCGTTTCTCCTTTCCCTTTCTGCCGGGGAAACGGATTTAATTTCCAGGTAACCAAAGATTTATTCTTTTATTTTCCCTCGGATGAGTTGCGCCGGGGCACAGTGGGGGCTCCGCGTGTGCCGGGCTGCCCTCAGCACAGCCCTGGGGCAGAGGTTCTCTCTTCACTACTCCTTATTTTTTTATCTTTAATCTCTTAACGAGAAAGAGATGCGGGCTTTTTTTTTTGTGCCGCCGGCACTTCGTGCGGTATTTTGGATCACAGGCCGTGCGGGTTTGTGCAGGGAAACTGTGACCCTGGTTAATACATGGAATAGAGGCTGACACACCTGCGTGCTTCTTTCCTTCCTTCCCGTGGATTTCCCTTGGTGGTTTTTCCATGTAAAATAACAAAGGAGGGGGGAAAATAACACTCAGCTTTCGGGATGGATAATAGCTAGGTGTCTTTTGCCTTGTATTTAGAAATAATTCAGGTGGCCGTTTTTATCTGTCTATAAATATACTGCGGTGCCACGCATCTCCATCACACTTCAAAGAATGCAGCAGCTCCACCTGAGCGCTTTCCCCCCGCAGCCCTTAAAGCTTCGGATTCGAATGTGTTTATCCATGAAATGCTTGGAGATGAGCGATGGAAACACCTTCAGTTTAGTGGGAAAGGATTTAGGACAAGAGGGGTGAAAGGAATCCTCCAAAATTGCATCTGAATGGAAAAAAAAGAGAGAAAAAACCTGTTTCTGTACATTTGCGTGCGGTTCGTGGTGCAAAGAACTGTTCGTTCGCTGCTGTTGCTGCTCAATGAAGACACTGACAGCCATGGGAAAGGCATATAAAAATATTCGGATGGGGCAAGAACGCAAATTAAAAAGGCAGAGGGAGTTTCGGGGCACGCACAAGCGAAGGCAGCTTTGTCCTTTGGGTATTCGCACCGCCCCGTCGCAAGGCACTGCAGTGGGTGCTGGGAGAACCGCTGTCAGCCCCAGCGCGGTCCGGGTGTGCGATGGGCTGCCCGGCGGTGCACCCAGCGCCCCAAAGTCGGTGCTTATCTCCTTTGCAGGGTCGGGGCGCGCGTTTCTCAACGTGCTCAGGCTGATGAAATGAAAACGTCCTCGTCTCGAACCCTCCTCTTTCTTCCCCGCTATAACTAAAGTTATAACCGCGCCTTGAAATCAAATCGCGTTTAAAACCAAAGCCGCTCCTTGCTAATAACCTCAGCAGCAAATCCGTACAAAACACGAACCGGCTGGGGAAATCGCCGTCCCGTGCGGGATGCGCACCGAGACCTGCAGATAACGGGGTGTTTGGGTACAAAAAAGGGCTGAGATCGAGGCAGAGGAAGGAAAGGCTCAGAGCAAAGTGGCTCCTCGCAGACTGGCTGCAGCACTGCGATGGGATGCGGCGTCTGAACGGCGTGGGTGAGAGTTTGGGAAGAGGTCACGGTGCGCTCGGGGAGGGGAGGCGGTCCTGGGAAGAAGGCAGCGCTGCGGAGCCGCCGCGTGTTCCTGTTGCTGAGGTTTGCTCCCAGGATCAGTGAAACGAGGTTGTGCTCCTGTCCTATTCAGTGAGCACTGCGGGTTTTGCCCTGCCATGCCTTTGTGCCCCCCCAAGGGTAGAAGGAGGCTGTTTGGAAGTGGCTTTTTTTCTTTCTTTTTTTCTTTCACACATTACATCCTTGCTTGGGAAATGCCGGGCGGAAAGGCTTGCAGGAAATAATCGATCTTGGTGGTTCTCCTGTATTGCAAGATATTGACTGCAGTCTTGATTTTTAACGCAGGATTCTTCTGTGTGTTTGTTTCTTAAATGAAATTGTTCCCTGTTAATCTAATTTACACTAAAGTGCTTAATGCTTGTGGTTGTTGTCATTAAACACAATGTAGATTGATCTATAAAATCTCCCCATTAACGTTTGTTTTATGTTCAACATTTCTCCCTCTGCTGCTTGTAACTTCTAAGGGAAGCTTTCCCAAGCCAGGTTTTTTCAGTCCGTGTTCTGATCACACACATAATCAGGTATGTGGGCTGGATGGAGAATTATTTACCAAATCTTGCTCTGCAGCACAGGTGGTCTCAGTCACTCAGTGTATCAAAACCTGTGGCAGCACCCAGCAAGCGACCCAGGCACAGTGAGAGCAGTGTGAATTCCTTTTTACAACCTCCCCTCCTTCCTTCTCTCTGCTGGGCAATGTGCAGCGTGATTTCTTTCCATTGGCAACACGAAGCTTCTGCAGGTGGTCCAGAAGAGGGCTGGGGGGGGGTGAGCAGGATGCTGACCACAGCACTGCGAGCACAAAGCATTGCAGCCTCCTGAACTGATGGCGAGTTTGATCCTCCTCTCCGGTCGCAGTAACAAACAGCATCACCCTAATTAACTGCAGGTTCCTGCTGGGATGGTCTTACTCAGCTTAGAGGTGGCTTATTTCTGTCTTGGATTTGTCTTGTTTCTGTACCATAATAAGCTTAGATGAAGCACCTGTAGCTCCATTGCTGCAACTGCTGTGGGGTGACAACAGCTGCCGATGTGCTCCGTGTTGCTGCAGCAGTAGCAATGTGTCGCACCTGGTGGGAAAGGCAGGCGGATATAGGGAGTATGATCAAGAGAGGGAAGGGTGATCTCAGCAAGAACTGCAGTGTCCTTTCAGTCTGCAGGGTCTTTCAAGGTAGAAGTTGGTTTTAATTCTCTGATAGATGTTTCCAGGAGCAAATGCAGGCTGTTCAAATTCTGTGCTCCCCTTTGTTTGGCTTTTGCTGAGACAGCTCACCTGGCTCTCCTGAAGGCTCCATGTTCCCCACCGTTGTGCAGCACAGTGGCTTTGCTGTCACTGCTGCAACAAGCCCTGAATTGCTCCTAGTGACACACAGAGCAGCTCCATGGTGTTACCTGCAGCTGCCCCATTACATGAAGCTCTTGCTGAGCTGCTGGATGCTTCTTTAGCACCTCCTCTATCCAGGTTTTTGGCTCAGCATCACTTCTGCTCAAAGCAGGCTCTTGTGTAAGGCAGGCTGCTTTACCTCACCCTTGCCAGCTGTCACCAGAGGAGATTCCCTGTGTTCACCCATCACTGTGACTTTGTGCTTCTAGAGCTGTTCCTCCCACCATGGGGGCAGCCACCAAAACCAGTCCTTTCTTCACACCCCTGCCTCTTCTTGTGCACCTCCCAGCCTCCTTGTAAAGCCTGGAGCTCCCCTGAGCCCTTGCAGGGCCTCCCATATTTCAGAGAAGAGGGGGAACAGGGGAATCCAGAATTGCCTTTCATTGCAACCTCCATCTCGGAGTGATGTGTTTCAGAGAACAGACTTTGGTTTTCAGAAGGCTGACAGGTGATGCTACCCAGGGGTCTCTCATTTGGTATAGATATCACGAAAGCTTTGAATGATTCCACATGTCACAACTACCCAGTTTGCCTTCTTGACTTGAGGTGGAGTCAAATAATTGTTTTCTACACTTGCCACCATCCCTTAATGTTTCAGATTGGGAAAGTAGAAGAGGCCTGCCAAGTGAATGTTGAGAATTTCCACTGTATGGTGAACACAAATACGCTTCTGCCCCTGTAAAGGCAGCCTGTGCTCGTGGTGAATAACACCAGGCTTTGCAAATAGCTGTGCTGCAGCCATGGGGCTACAGCAGGCAGGTTCTACTCCAACTAAATCTCTCTCTGAATACTTAATGCAAAATTCAAAGCCTATTTCTTATTTAAATTCCTCGCCTTCCTAATTTGAAAGACATTAAGTTTTGGCCTTTGCTTTTAAGCAGATGGATGCTCATCATTTACTTGTACGGTCTCTTTTTGTGCCACCATATCTGTTAGGTGCAGGAAGAATTTGCATTAGTATTGAGGTAGATCAAAAGATTTTCTTTGCACGTATGCTGCAAATAATGTCTTTTCCTAGGGGAAAAAAATACAGTGCTTTCCAAATGGTTTGTGAGATGATCATGATCAGACTTTAAAAAATATATACATATGTGTACACACACACACACACACACATATATATCCCCCCCAAAAAGCAGCATCATATAAATATGAACAGGTTTAGTATTTAAATATTTCTTCAAAGTTTGCTGTTTTATTTAAGAAAACAAAACCAAAACCCACACCACCTACCCACAAAGGTCATCCTAATTTATGGGAGCTCTAAGAGGTAGTGAGATGACAGATAGGGAGGAAGGTGATCAATTAAGACATTAAGCATTTTGCACCACATGGACGCATCTGCATGTCAGCCGAATAATAAGGCCATCAGCTCATTTTCAGGGAGCTGTTGCCTACTTCAACTCAATCCTCAGATCAAAGAGAAAATGTCTGCTTGCATTTTCTAATCAGAAAAGGGATGCTAATTTAGGTTCCTTAATGTGTGGTGGTAAGAGACTTCTTCAATTAACTGAATTCTATAGCTCAGAAAATAAAAAAAGGGGGATACAAAGGGAGTCAGGCTGGAAAGGCAGAAGTTCTCATTAAACCAAAGGTCCAATATTCATTACCTCCAGCATCTGGGGCTAAACACTAAACATGGAGATCATCAAAGGGGGTTTAATGGGTTAAATTGAGAATATAATCTAATTAAAATATTAGATACGGGTAAATAGCTCTTTGATATTCATCTGAAGGTTTCATTAAAATAGGTACTCGAGGTTTGTATTAAGGGGGGGATTATCACTTTTAAGCAGGAACAACACATTGAGGTTCTCTAACCAGAAATGCTTCCAAGTGTTACTATTTAGTTAAAAAATGAAAGTAGAAAAGTAGGGAATGCATGGAACCAAGCAGCCTAGCTGGGTGGATTGTACCTCAGCACGCAGGTGCCATCAAAGGGGGGCCAAGTGCTGAAGATCCCAAAGGAGAGAAGGAAGTAGGCTGGGGCAGAGGACAGTCCTGTTCCACAAGCTGCAAGGCAAATGTCCACAGCTGGACTTGGATATGCAAAACACTCCCTTCAACCTGACCTGCATTTCCCATATTCAAGGTGCTTCTTCTGCCAGGTTTCCCCCAAAGATGATGTACAACACAAGCTTCTGCCTGCAAAGTTGAACCATAGAATTGCTCAGGTTGGAGAAGGCCTTCGAGTCCAACCATAACTCAGAAAAGCATCTCAGCAAGGGAAAAAACCAGAAAACAGATGAGCACACTTAAAATGCTACCTATGTTACCATTTACTTCTTCAATATTTAGTAGAACTGATTCTAAAACTTTAAACTGAGGAAACTTCAAGCAATTTATATTTGAATGGAATGGCAAATCAGTGTGTGAATGTTATAGCTCATAATTAAACAGGTCCAATATTTTTGCCTTGCAGATATCCCTATCATTCTGAGATAATTATAAGATATGAAGGGTTCTGAAAGCAGCTACAACTTGCTTCTCCTTCTCGTGTCTGCTCTGTAAAGTTTCCAAAGGTGTAACTGGAGGTAAACTGTCTCTTCTTAAAGTTGATAGCAGAGCTCTTTCCTCTTTCACCTCTTCATCTGATTGCCTTGCTGTGAAAGGCTTTGGTTTAGGAATCTTCTTTGCATATTCCAGTGCCTAAAAACATGAAGATTGGGGAAAGTGTGATTAAGAGAAAAGCTGTCCAACACTTCAAGAAAATGTGGTTGTTTCTTTGTTGAGTCAAATTAGAAGTTCCCCTAATTCCTGATCTTTTATTTTTGACAGTGTTCCGCATTAGTTGCCTCAGCAGCAACTGCAAGAAGCCTCTGCTATAGGCAAAATAATGCACCACAAGATTTGCTTCCTGACATTTACCACTGGAGGCTATCTTACATAAAGAAACATACTGGTTTTCCTTTAAAAACATAAAGCAGCACTAGTCCAGTTGCTAAACATCACTTCTAATCTCATTAAGCTCTTGTTCTCAGCCATACATTGCAGGGTGTCCCATGGGTTAATGTGCCAAGGACAGAAACTGAGCACTCAAATGACAAATGTTAAGAAACTGATGTACTGAAAGGCCACAAATGATGAAAGAAGAGTTGGAATAAAGTCTTCTGAAGGAATCCAAAGTCCTCTTGACATGTAGAGAGTGCAGTTTCACCTCTTTGTGGTTTACATGGTCTGAAAATGAATGCATGGAACTGAAGAATTCAACTGATAGTGAAATGAAAAACTTCTTTCTATGTGACAGTTGTCATTCATCACCTCAGAGAAATATCTGCTCTGTTTTCAGCCCCTACCAGGGAGCTGCTGCAGACTGATCTGATAGAATACACACTATTTTCACAGCTTTATTACTTTCTGCAAGAGGGAGAAGGGACTCCCTTTGTTTGTTTGTGTATGCTATTGTCACACAGTCAGCTGTTGCTCATTTAGATTACTTCTGGAGGACAGTGAAGGCTGAAGTAATGTTGTATGGGCTTGAAAAATGAGGCCAATTACTGTAGCTATGCAACTGAAGTGCAAAGAGTTGTGATTGAGACTGACAGGCAGGTGGATAATAGACTAATAAGTGGATATCTGTGGTCCATCAGGAGAGTGCACTCTGCAGTAGCATGGCCTCTACCACTGATGTGAAGTTAAGAGTGTGCTGCGCTGGATAGTGTTCCTGTAGGGGTCTTGCTCTCCTTCATTTTTCATTCCTGCCTTTCTTTTTCTGTGGGTAAAGTCCAGAATCGTTCCCTGTGAACATTTGACAAGAACTCTGCCCTTACCTTCTGTCTTGACACTGAAGATATGACCTGGGGCTTTGTAGGCAACCTCTGAACCAAAGCAATGTTTTTCATGTTGTGCTCCTTAATTCTCTGTGCATATTCCTTTTGTTGCTTTAACTTCTCCTTCTGACAAAAGAAACAAAGTGTATGATAAACATGGAGCCATCAGTGAAATACCTTTTTCCACTGGAGTCTTCTGTTTGTATCCCTGCTGCTATTTAAGCTGGCTGAGGTATTGATCATCCCTCAGCAGAACACAACAGGAAACCCTGATGAGTTTTTCAGTCATTCTTCACTTTTAAGAGCTTTTTCTTGGACA